TTCTAAAGGAAAGCTCACTAAAGTAGATTTTCTAAAAAATGTTTCGCTTAATTTCAAGGACAGTTTGTGATTCATGTTCTAAGGCCAAATACACTAGGTCTCCTTTTTCTTGAAGTCAAATAAAAACAAAAGAATGCTTTAAGTTAATACATTGTGATGTTTGGGGAAAATATCGTAAACCTTCAATTTCAGGAGCAAATTATTTTTTGATCATTGTTGATGATTTTAGTTTGTATGGACTTTTCTAGTCAAGCATAAAACCGATGCTGGTAAATACCTGATTAATTTCCATAAGATGATAGAAAACCAATTTGGAAAACGTATTAAAAGGATAAGAAGTGATGATGGTGGTGAATTCACTTCCCACTTCATGACTGATTTTTACAACCAACATGGGATTTTGTTTGAAAACACGTGTCCTCACACACCCCAACAAAATGGGGTGGTTGAGCACAAACACGGACACTTGCTAGAAACAGCTCGAGCCCTAAGGTTTGAAGCTAAATTGCCAATGAGATTTTGGGGAGAATGCATCTTGATGGCTGCTTATATCATCAACCGGTTACCATCCAAAATTCTTGCAAATAAAACTCCATATGAGGTGTTATTTGACCAAAAACCCGACTATGATCACATGAGGGTCTTCGATTGTCTAACGTAGTATAAGAGCAATGGAACGAAGGGTGATAAGATGGAAGTGGGGGGGAGGCCCGGGGTCTTTTTGGGATATCCTCAAGGAACAAAAGGGTATAAAATATTTTACATGGAAAAGGGAAATATCATTGTGTCAAGAGACACCAAATTTCATGAAGAAAATTTCCCATTTTCCACCAATTCTATCCAAGGCAGTAGATAGTTGGATGATGTCTTTGATATTCGGCCGACCCAGGTCATTTAAGAAGAAGAAAATGAAAAACAATATGTAGATCTTGAAAGTGAACAAAGGGATGAGGACACATCTCCTAGCCCACATCCTCAAAGCCCACATAATGAAGATATTGGAAACCCAGAAATCGAAACGGTGACCGCTAGACCACAAAGAAATCGAGCTCACTCAAGGCATTTGGATGATTATATCGTGAAGCTCCCCTTTTTCGGTCGATCACACGTAAAATGCACCAAATCAAGGGTCCTCGACGGTACACCCAATCTCTAATTATCTTTCTTATGATAAGTTTTCTTACTCATACAAAACATTTTCAACAGCCAACACCTCAAACGATGGGCCGACTTGTTTTAAAGAAGCCATGCAGGATCCAAAGTGGGTTGAAGCTATAAAGAAAGAAATTCAAGATCTCGAGGAAAATGAAACATGGACACTAGAAACTCTCCCAAGGGAATGTGAGCCATTGATTCGAAGTGGGTCTACAAAATAAAATACAAATCAAATGGGCAAATCGAAAGACATAAAGCAAGGCTCAATGCCAAAGGCTTCACACAAAGTGAAGGAGTAGACTTTTATGACACATTTGCGCCTGTTGCGAAGCTAGTTTCTGTTAAAACTTTATTAGTCGTTGCCACTAAGAAAGATTGGATGATCCATCAACTCGACGTTAACAATGCATTTTTGCATGGCAATTTGGATGAAGAAGTTTACATGAAGGTTCCTCAAGGTTTTTCTACAGAAAACGATACTAGAGTTTGTCGCTTGAGAAAGTCCCTCTACGGTCTAAAAACTGATCTCACGCAATTGGTATAAAGAGTTCACCACTTTCCTTCTTGGCCTCGGTTTTGATCAATCCAAGTCTGATCACTCACTTTTCATTTACAAAAGTGATGACACCTTTATCACCACCCTTATTTATGTTGATGATGCCATATTTGTGGGAAACAACTCCTGCAAAATTTAAGAAATAAAGAAGTGTCTGAATGAGAAGTTTAGTATCAAGGATCTCAGAGTCTTAAAGTACTTCCTTGGTATCGAGGTGGCAAAAACTTCAGAAGGGTTGGTTCTCAGTCAAAGAAAATTTACACTCGATATTTTGAAAGATCTTGGTATGCAAGGATCACAACCCAGTTCGTTTCCTATTGAACAAAACCTAAAGATCAATAAGGATAAGAGCCAACCGAAGGTCGACGCCAATCAGTATCGACGCATGATTGGTCGACTTATTTACTTGCAAGCAACTAGGCTGGATATAGCCTACTCGGTCAATGTTCTTAGCCAGTTCATTGTTGACCCCTGACAACACCATCTAAATGCTATCACCAGAGTCCTTCGGTATCTCAAGGCCACTCCTGGTCAAGGAATCATCCTGCCACGCACAGGTGGGACAAACGTATCAGCATATTAAGATTCTGACTGGCTCGGTTGTCCCATGACAAGGTGATCAAGAACGGGCTATTTATTACTTCTTGGTGGAACACTGGTCTCATAGAAAACCAAAAAGAAATCGGTGGTATCACGATCTTCCGCTGAAGCTGAGTATCGGGCTATGGCCACCATTGTCAGTGAAGTGATTTGGATTTGCTGGTTACTAAAGGAGTTGGATATAGAAAACGTGGGCCTACTGCACTTTTTTGTGATAACCAAGTTGCTCGTTACATTGCCAATAACCCTGTTTTTCACAAACGAACTAAGCACGTGGAGATCGACTGTTATTTTGTTCACGAAAGAGTCGAGTCCAAAGAAATTCAACCCATGCACGTTGATACAAAGTTACAGGTTGTTGATCTGTTCACAAAGGGCTTGGGTGCACAACAACTTCGCTCTCTCCTAGACAAGTTGGGCACTCCTGACTATCATGCTTCAGCTTGAGGGCGAGTATTGGAATTGCGCAATTTATTCTCCCATATGCACTCCTAATATTATTTCTTGTTTCCCTCCTAATTTACAGCTCGCAGATCATCGATAGCTATCCTTTCCTTTTACCGATTTTTTGCTTAGTATATATACACGGTTTTATTGTTCCTTGTTATCATTAAGAAATGTTAGAATCAAATTACTATTCAAATGTATATCATCGTTTTTATGAGCAAATATATCAAATATTTATTGAAGATTTAGGGGAAGCATATGCTCCTTCTCGCTACCATGTGGTTCTCCAAGATCACCAATCATAACATCTCATCATTCTCTTATTTTTCCTTGTATTCAAAGAAGTTGATTTGAGTCTAAGTTTGTTTACTCATATCTTCTAGGATTCGTGTTTAATGTAGATTAATTCTATGTTGAAATTGCACTACTTTTTAGTAAAAAGACATAGATAATTTTGTGTGTTTTCAATGATTTTATGTATCTTGTCATTTTTACATATATTCTTTCTTTTAAAGGTAAAAAGACCTTATGGGCAAGCTTGGCCGTTTATGGAGCTAGTTATTAAATCCGCCAAAAAGAACAATAAATTTATCATATTAGGTTTGTTTGACAAAAAATAAGTTAGACATGGTCTGTATACAACACAAGCCTGTAAAAGATTCTGTAACCATAAGTCTAAAATCAGATTTCTTAAATCTTACATTATCAAAAATATGTGAGATTTATCAGGTATATATAACTTGTTCAAATAAAAGCGTGCACTTAAACCAACAACAATAATTAATATGTGAAATTATTGGTCGGTTAAGTACTTACCAAAATTCTAATAGATCGTGATAGCGTGTACTAGGTGTTACAGGTATGGAGATTATACAAAATAAAAGGAAAGTTGGCGAAAGAATTCAAACAATTAAGGTTTGATCAGTATCACTGTATAAGCAAAAGCCAAAGGAGTTTACAGTTATTTCTAAGACTGAAATGCATTTAGTTTTATAATATAAAAAATGTTTATTATTTGAAGGTTTGTAAAGGTGTTTTATCACTAACCATTGAGTATAAGTGGTTGTCTACCAAGTGTATTAAGGGGTTGTTTACTAACTGTTGACCATGGTGACTGGGTCAACAGTCAATGTGTTTACTAAATTGCGGATCTGAAAGAGATCTGACTGAAATGCTGACCGAGGTCTTACCCAACCAGCGTTAAATTTATGCTTACCCGAGTTAGATCTTTGTCTTCCATACTTGCCCTATCTAAAAGATAAATAATAGAATTATCTAAAAGTTACAAAAAAAACATGATTTTTAATTATATTTATTGTTAAAGATAGAAGCATGTAAATAAAATGATTGTTGTAAGTATAAATTCAATAATTAATTATAACTAGAAAAAAAATGAAAAGTTGATTTATTACATGAGAAGTTTTGATTTAAAAATGAAAGATAAAAAGTAATGTAGGTGTTTTGATGTGAAGGTTTGTATTTTTTTTAACTTCACAATATTTTGCTATGAAGTTTCAAGTGTTATTTTATGGTTTTATGAATCTCACGAAAACTGGCTGGTCTCACGTGAACTCAACCCTATATATATAAATATGTATGTATAGACTAGGGATCATGTAAGATTAGGTTGCTTTCTTGAGACTCATAATACCAATTTTTACACTTGAAACTTCACAGCAAAACACTGTGAAGGTAACATTTTTGCCGTGGAAACTCCGTTTTTTTTATCTTCACAAAATGTTTTTCATGTGTAAAAATTACTCGAAACATGTTGATCATATGTGAGCCCTACCTCTTATATATATATATATATATATATATATAGAGAGAGAGAGAGAGAGAGAGAGAGAGATGAGGTTTAATTTGCAAACTATCTCTTTCATATAAACATTACAAAACTAATCGCATCCCTCTATTTTTTCGATGAAATGCCAAAATTAATTGAAAGAAAGTAAATAAGTATAGTAAAAAATAAAAGAATCCATATTGGAGATATAGAAGGAAAAAATATGTTTTATGAACTTGTTAGAAGTAGATTCTTGTGAATGCTCTTATATCCAATTTTTAGTAAATGTGTGTACATTAATTAATCCCATGATGTTTATAATCTGTAATGACTGAACTAGAAGTAGAAGTAGAAGGGTGACGACGGGGATGCAAACCCTATTATGTAAGTGTGTCGGCTTGTATTTATCATGTAAAATGAACTATAATCAACATGCTTATGTGAAAAGACGATTATGACCAAATCTTGAAGTTTCTTGGAAAGTGGATGTATGTATGACTTACAAATCTGAAGCATGATATATTTTCATGTGCTATTTTTGTATAACCTTGTTGAAACTTTAATACTGCATCAACAAACCTATTCACATCAACAACAAAAACGAAAACAAAAGCCAAAAAGCTAGACCTCATATATATATATTAAACCACACCTTAGACCATTGTGTTGTGGTGAAGTGTTACATGTCCAAATCTTTAGGCATATTGTACAACTCTTGATGCATGTTCTTTTGTAAGAAGAAGCAAATCGCAGTGCAGTCGTCCCTATTCGATGACGGGAACCTCTGTTTCCAAGCTGCAATTGCCGCTACCACTACTGCTTTTGCTGCCGATTCCTCACTCTCTGCTCCCCACACGACCGATGCTACCGTATTGTTACTAAGCACATCCCACACCTGAAAATAAAATGTCCAACGCATTATTGACTTGTACCATACAACTCGACCACACATAAGATATGCTCGGCTGAGTTGTACTATTGACTTATGAGACCGTGGACTTACCCCATCACTTGCAAGAACGAGAAACTGATCGTTGGGGGTCAACCGGTGATAGGATACATCGGGGACCGCGATGATTCCGTGGCTTTTGAGTACAAAATCCCCGAAAGCACGAGACATGGCTAGGCCTGGTGAGTCGTGATGCGGCAACCACACTCGATCTATATGTGGTTCTTCCTTCAGTGCCATCACCCGACCATTCGACTTCCTTATTCGATCTCCCTCCGCTGCTCAAAAAATAAGTAAAACCCCGATCATTTATCGCGTTTCTATATATTTGTACAATACAATTAATCATCAATAGTTATAAGACTTACAAGGCACACTTGGTTTCAGATCAGTGGTCAATTGCACAGCCACAATTCCATTTTCAGCAATTGTTCCTAGAATTGCTCTTGAATCACCTAGATTAGCAATAACCAGATCTTCACCCTGTAAAACAACACAATCCTATCAGAATTATCTCAAAAATACTTAGCATAATATAAAATAAAACAAAATTTCATTTTAAAAATTACAGTTACATTAATAATAATGAACTGCGACACCCGGTTGGTTTTTTGTAACTTATGATACCTCACATCGAATCACAGCAATGCACTTTTAAGACCGTAAAAATATCCCACTATGCAACAGCGATAAAGTGAAAGTTAAACTACTGTCTGGATGCTGTGCTAGTTTGTACCGTACAAGCTAATTATGCATCCAGGATGGCTCAAAATCTTGATGAGAGTTTGTTATATAATATATGGTACCTGTTTGATGACAATAACAGCAGTTGTACCACTGCAAGAGAAATCTATATGTTCCATAAGCTTGATCTCCTTGTCCATGACTTTGAAGGCACTAAAACAGGCATCTTTCCAAATATGGAAATCCTTAGACTCAAACTCACCATCATGCTCAATTACCGTTTTGCCCTTGATTATGGTGGAATTTCTTTGGTTGACAATCAATGATGGCAACCTGTTTCTCACAAATTTGCTCACTATTTGACCATTCCTTCCATGCCCATCAAAAACCCCACCAAAAGCACCATTCTCCATTCCATAATCCTTCATCAAAAAAATAACATTAAATTAGAGAATAAAACTGAAAATTGAGAGATACCCATTTCATATAATGAGAATACAACATGGCAACCAACGTTAAGAAACCAGTTTGAATCCACCGGAGATTTTCCGTGTTGTTCTCGGGGACGCCCTTGAGATTAATGTATAAGTTGGTTTGGACACCTATCGTTTACCAAAAAAGGAAATCCAACACGGAGTTGGTAAAAAAGGGTTGAAGATGGAAAACCTGATAAAGAATAGCAGCATCTTGGTTGAAACCTTTGGATCCTTGATGAGTATGGAGGGAGCCAATTCTATGATCAGAAATGGTTTGTTGGTAATAAATGACATGTTCATGGCCATAGTCTATGTCATGAATCTCTGGAGATGCTCTCGATATGCAGATACCCATCTTCAAAGTTTAATAAACCCAACCCTTCTCAAACTACTCTTTTTATACAAAACCAAATGATATCAGATGGACCCCACTCCATTTATATTATATTATATATATATATATATATATATATATATATACACATGAATAAAATATGAGTTAGACGAGGAATGTAAAAGGGGATCTCTAAACTCTTGATCATTATTAATCCTACATTCACTGCATGCATGGGTTGCGTTTGATATGTGAATTGATGCAATACATCTCTGTGCATGTCGTGATATAGTGCAAAATAAAATATAATTGTTTGCTAATTATTTAATATGAAATCAGGTCGCTGAATGGTTAAGGGAGACTCCAGATACAAAATCATTTAGAGAGTTTTAAAACCATTAAAATACAGTTTTTTTTTTGTCAAACATAATTCACTTTTTAACGATTCAAATGTTACTTCTTAATATGAAACTATTAACAAGTAAAACTCTTACTTTATTTAATATAAAGTTATATAAATAATTAAAAATTGAACATGCAAAGCAACTTTGATTTAAAACACCGCAACAAGATGCCCAAACATCAATTATGCAAATTTTAGTATTTAATAATCATTAGAATATATATCCCTCCAAAAAGTCAAACTCTATGACTCATCCATTTTGTTGTATTTTTATCGTTTGGGTTATGTTTGATAAATTTTTGGATAAGCTATAGTGATTAATTGAATATTAATGGCTTCTAAAATCTTAAAAAAAAGTTAATTATTAACTATTAATTAATAAATTAGTTAGATAATAATGTAAAAAATAATCATATATATATATAAGGTATTTATGTAATATATAATGACATAACAGAAAAATTGAAAAAAAAAACTCTACGATAACTTATTTGAAGTAGATTTTCAAAAAACAAAATTTTGCTTTATCAAATAATGTTTTTTCAATAAACTCAAGAAACAATCTAATTTTAGGGGCTTTTTAGTTAGTTTTTTCATTAAGTTCTATTACGGATAAAGTTGTCTGTATATCGTTAAGTCACTACCAAATAACTCGAATAAGTTGTAAGTCTTATTAAGCTGCTAACCAGTGGCGAAACACGAGGCTTGTAACCGAGGGGCCCGAGTCAAATATCTATTATATAAACAATGTAATTTAGTGTTGGATTTATTTTTTTATTTTTTTTGCTAAATGATATACATAAGTCTAATATAAAAATAATTATATATTTAGAACCGGCTTAGTTTGATCTATAATCCACTATTTATTTACTTAGAGTCCGATGTCATCCGAACTAACAAATTATTGGATTTCCAATTGTAATTGTTCTAGTTTATTCAGGAAGTAGAAATTACTTACGTAATTCTTATAAAATATAAAATTTCACGATGTTTGGTTCAACAAGAACCTAGTATACTATATTTACATTTTTAGATTGGACAATTTATGGAAAAAAATCGTCCGTTTATCGAAACTGATTACTTCGTTTAAACGTGTTCATCGATCGAGTTCGATTATATATTTCTCATTTTTTCATCAGCAACCCATTAAAGCATGCAGTGACGGATCCAGGAAATTAATGGAGTGGGGGCACGTTGGATGAGACTTGAGGGAGGCAAACATATGGCCATATGGGACTGGGGAAACATGTAAGACGAGGATACAAATAGAAAATTTAAGATAGTCAACAAATGTTTTTGGTCTTTGACTGAGGACCTTTTCCCCCAGTCCATAAGGGCTAGATCCGCGGCCCTGAGTGCACGATTAATAACTATTTATTAGCTTTACAATTATGAAAACATTTTGTTTCATTGTTATATCATCTGAACTTCATCTCAATATATTTTGTGATCATATTATTTGCAGTCTACATTTTATAAAATTATCATAAAAAAAACTTTAAATCACATTAGATAATCATTTCACAATAAAATATTTAGTTCTAGTTATAATAACAAACAATCACATTATGCACCAAATTATAGCAAGGGGAAGCAAAAACAAAGGGGTCATGGCCCCCTAAGCCCCTTAAGCCAACCGTTCATGCTGCTAACAAGCACGTTCTTATTATTGTTAAATATGTTTTTACATTAACATTATGTTGTTGATTCTATCCAAGGAGATTGAGATTCAACCACCTTAAATTAGTCCGGTTTATAATGACATTATTTTTGGGGTTTTAGTTAGATACTTATTTGATTCGTTCTTGTACTGTCAATCCATTTTTATAAAAGACTTCTAACAATGAACACCCTTAACCCAAATGGTTTTACTTGGTTTATTAAAAGGGTATATTTTTTTAGCATTAAGTTTGTGATAACTGGGTCCTAGTTATGCACATGAGGTAATGGTTATGTGATTACCTGATTATATGATCATGTGAATATCTGATTAATTGTTATAATTGATCATGTAGATACATCCTTACATGAAATTAATATGTGAGTGTGTGAATATATTTCATACATAAAGTGATGGTAAGAGAATATGCATACATGTATGCATGTTTTATGTGTATGCATGCGTTGTGTGTGTACATGGATTTATTTCATAGAAAACGTGCATAGTTTTATGGTTATTTCATGTTGTGGGGTGGAACACGCATATTCCACTTTGTGTTACTCTATTTCTGTATTTTTCACATAAAGTTGTTTATGTTTGTTCTACATAAAAGTTTTGTAAAATATGGAACAATGATCCTCATTTTGTTCTGTTCAATACATCAAACGCACCTTTAAGAAATAGACTTGTTATAAAATAAACTGATGGTAGCATAAGTGCCGTTTTGATATATAGGGAAAGGATCAAATGCAAACCGAGTCATTTGTACAAACCGTACAAACCTCATTCAACAAATCATAATTTTTTCTTTTTTCATCATTTTTAATTATGAGAGTTGATTAATCATTTTTATTGTGGGGGTAATTATGAACATTATCATCTTCATTATATTAATTCTAGAAAACAAATTTCATCAAAATGAGAAATACATGACACAATTTCATTTTCTTTTTCATAAAAAATATATGAAACAATTTAATTAAGTAAAGAATTATAAGAAACAAATTTATCATATTAAACAATTTCATTGAATTAAATAATGAAATCGACAGTTTGTACAAATGACTTGGTTTACATTTGATCCATCTCTTGAGACCCATGAAACTATTTTTTTACACTTGAAACTTCATAGCAGAACATTATGAAGGTAATTTTTACAGTGTTTTTGTTGTGAATGTTATACTTTTTTTACCTTTATAGTATTTTGCTGTGAAGTTTTAAATATAAAAAAATAGTGTTACAGGTCTCACAAAAACAGGTTGGTCTTACATGAACCCAACTATATATGTATATATATGATTAGTAATATGTCCATATTCTTAATAAATATGTCAAATATTATGAATGATTTTCGTATTTCTTAATTAATTTTAGGTTACTAAAGAAAAAGTAGTCATATTTATAAGGATTAATTTATTTGTTTTGGAAGAGTAGAAGCAATAAATTAGGAGAAAACGTAGAGAATATTAATTAAATATAATAAATAAAAAAGAAAAAAAGGAATGCGGCCCAAGATTCAGTTAAAAGGGCATCTTATTCTTCCTTCTTAGGTGTACAAAAGCAAGCTTCCAGCCAACTCACCACTCACCATCATTCATTTATTTAAGACTCAATTACATCTTTAGTCCCTCACCTTTGTTGGTTTTTTTAAAACATTTCCTTACAATTCTCTTATTATAAATTTGTCTTTCATGTTTGCAAAAAAAAAAAACTTCGGTTTTGTTTACCTCATAAACGACCGTTAAAATTTTCTGTTAAGTTCAATTTAAATTGATTATATTACATTTAGAACTATTTTTGAATTTCTTTTTCAAAAATGGACGCCATTTGTAATATAACACTCTTTTAAACATATTTATTTGTTGGAATTGCAACCTCCTATCAAAATAGTTAGATCATTGATGTTGAGGGGCGGAAGAAATGGAGTGATGGGGGAATGAAGGGAGTTGCAATGAAGGTATAGCCACGCATTGAGAAGATAGAAAATGAAGAGCATTTTGTGTTTTGCGTGTTTGTATATTATATATTATTTTTTAAAGAATTTATTAAAAATAAAGAAAAATGGTTAATTGACTAATTTCATCTAATTAGACTTAACGAAGAATTTTAACAATTGTTAGTGGAATGAAATCCAAAAGAATTTGTAAACCAAAATGGACAAATTTGTAATCAAAGAATTGTAGAGATCAATTTCATCTAAAGTGACAAAGTTCAGGGACGAAAAATGTAAAGTCACTCTTGTTCAACGGCTTTTTAGAAAATTCTAAATAAAAGTAAACTCATGATCTCTTCAAAAAGTTGGATGCAATGGAACACAACCGCGTAGATATTCATGAGAATGAGACCTGTACTGTTAGGGAATTCGATGTATCCGTCCCAACGGATATAGAGATTTCCTATAAAACCGAGGATCAGAGATGAAGACGGGAATCCTCAAAAGTAAAATACCGGGGATGGGGATGGAGACGGGGACAGATAACGTGGTCCCTACTCCATCCCGCTTCCGAATATTAAATACATTATATATATTTATTATTAAATATATTATTTATAAGTATTTAAATTTAATACTTAGATTTGAGGAATTGGTATTTTGACATTTTGTTTCTCATATACATTTTTACTTAATTGTCAACTTTTTTTAGATAAAAAAAGGTTAAAAAACTGGAAGCGTATGATCAAATAATTACTTATGATGTTGTGATATTGTTCACATATGAATATTTGATACTCAATAAAAACAAAATTTAAAAATATATGAGATTTAAACATGGACCATTATTGATTGAGTGTGTTTTTAACACATTCGATTTAAAATATCTTATATTATCAAGGAAAATCCCCGATTCACTGTGGGAGATGGGTATGTAGATGCGATCATATCCTCCGGTGGAAATGAGGACGAAGATTGAGATTGAATACATGAATGGAGATTGGGATCCCTGCCCCATTCCCATG